GTCTAGAATGCGACCACGCGGGTGGTTATGGGTGCGACTTGGCGCACACACGTAACACCCCTCCTGCGCGAGCTGCACTGGCTCCCGGTGATCTTCCGGCTGCGATTCAAGGTGTTGGTCACCACCTTTAAAGTGCTCCATGGCTTAGGACCGGGGTATATACGAGACCGCTTCTGCCATCAACAACCTCCCACCGGCCAATATGCTCCCACAGAGAGGGACTCCTCAGGGTGCCGTCGGCCAAACAATGCCGACTGGCGACACCCAGGGGGAAAGCCTTCTCTGTGGGGGCACCAGCTCTCTGGAATGAGCTGCCCCTACAGCTTCGTCTTAGCCCCGACCTGCGTACTTTTCGCCGCGCCCTTAAGACCCTTCTGTTCCAGCAAGCCGGACTGGCCTAGTACGAATTTTAAATTGGGTGTATGTGTGTTTTAATTTGCGGGCCAAATTTTTATACTCGATTTTAATTGGTTTTAAATTTTATAAATCTATGTGCTTTAATATGGCAGTACACCGCTCTGAGTCCTTTGGGAGAAGGGCGGTATAGAAATCTAATAAACTTGAAATTTGAAACTTTCTAGACTCTCAACATTTTTTTTTATATTGTGATGACCAAAACTAGATGCAATATTCCAAGTGTGGTCTTATGAAGGCATTTTTAAGTGTATTAGCACTTCACGTGATCTTGATTCTATCCCTTTGTTAATTCAGCCTAGGACTGCATTGGCATTTTTGACAGCTGCAGCACACTCCTGGTTTATATTTAAGTGATTGTCCACTGGAACTCCAAGATCCCTTTTGCAGTTACTACTATTGAGCCAGGTAGTACCTATTCCATACCTGTGCCTTTGGTTTTTATTGTCTAAGTGTAGAACTTTTCTTACCACTAAACTTCATTTTTTAAGATAGAGCTCAGTGTTCAAATCTATCAAGATCCTTCTGTATCTTCAGCCTATCTTCTGGAGTATTATCTAGTCCTGCCAGTTTGGTGCTGTCTGTAAATTTGATAAGTTATCCTTCTATCCCATTGTCTAAATCATTGATGAAGATATTGAAGAGTACTTGGGGTGCCCCACTACATAGTCCCATCCATGCTAAGTGTAAGGACTACATGTTGAGTGTGGCTGATCAGCTAGTTACAAATTCATGTGGTAGTTATGCTGTCTAACCCACATTTTTCTATCTTATCAAGTAGTAGGTTGTGGTCTGCCTTATCAAATGTCTTACTGTAGTCCAAGTAAATGATATCCACAGCATTTCACTGCTCCAGTAATTTTGTCACGCTCAGCAAACTGGTTGTTAAACCGATAGGATCCCACCACTGACTATAGCCCCAAAGTTGCATACTTTTTCCAAACCAATTGTGCCTTTGGAGTTCCTCTGATTGTCAAAACCTGTGGCATGGTTTCTTACCAATTTGAAGCACAAAAAGATATGAAAACACAACGGAAACCAAGAAAACTCCAATCGCTCCCAAACTGAAACAAAATAACATGTGATGAGGTCCTATATTCAGCGGCCTTTGCTCCTATCTGCTTAAAACTCCCCACGTCATATGTTCATAATAGAAGAACATGAATTTAACATAGACTTAGAAATGGCCAAGAGCAATATTCTGAATTTATTTATTTATTTATCGGTATACCATCTTTATTATTTTTACAAATAATTCAAACCAGTAAACATATCCAATACACTTTCTTCCTCCAATTTTCCTCCCAAAAAGCATCCTGTGAGGAGGGTTAGGCTGAGAGAGAATGATTGGCCCAAAGTAATGCAGCTGGCTTTCATGGCTAAGGCATGTCTTGAATTTACAGTCTCCCACTTCTGGCCTGGTGCGTTAACCACTAGATCTAACTGGCTAATGTACCAAATTTCATAAGGCAGTTTTATGATTGTTATGTCCAAAACAAGATAACAGTAGACAGCACAACCTCCAAGACCATTCCCACCAACAGGGCAAGCCACTAGAATATAAACAGAGCAAATCTCAGTCCTTACTAGCACTGGTGATGTTACCTAGTTTGGGCAAGAAGACAAGCAAGCTCAGAGAGTACCAAGGACCCCTCATTTCCACCCTGAGCTACAAATATTCTCTTTATCAGTTCCATTTTTAATTATGTCAAAAGGATAATTTTTATTGTACCATGTTTTGACCAACCCTCACCATAACATTATTTGTTTACCAGTAATCCTCAACCAATCACTAACCACTAACCAACCAACCAGTAAACCAATCACTTATCGACTATTCAAAGTTAAAATAGACCTCCCCAGGGTTACTTATAACCAGGTTCCATAATTCCAGTGGATCTTTCCATCACATGACTGTATGTGAAATACTTGACAACTGGCCTGCATTTATGACCATTTGCAGAATTCCTTAGTCACATGATCACATTTTATGGTGTTTTGACAAAACCTAGCATTTACTTTTGATTTTCAGCAACAATGGCCCATAGCACACAATGGGCTTGTTTAATGACTACTGAAAAAAATATAGTAAAATTGGGTGGGTCATATGGGTGACCCAATTTATGACTGCCATGACTTACAGCCATAATGGGCAGGCTCCACTGGAGCCATAACTTGAGGACTACTTGTATTTAATAATAAATATTTGGCATGAAAACTAATCCCCCCCCAAAATCCTGATTAAATAATCAGTATGCAATCTGACTCTCCCATGACCCCAGGATACTGCAACTGTCACAAATACATGCCAGTTGCCAAGCATCTCAGTTTTGATCACATGATCATGGGATTGCTACAAAGGTCATAACCAGGGGTGGTATTCACTTACCTTTGCTATAGGTTCGCAAATGTGAACGCATGCGTGCGTGCGCTCACTTGCTCGCACGCGCCACCTCCGTGCATGCACAGAGCCTTTCACGCATATACAGAGCATCAAAAATGTGGATAAATGGGACGTGATTACATCAAGATGGGTGGGCGGAGCCATCCACAGCTGCCGCTACTGGTTTGCCCAAACCAGATAGAACCGGCTGAATACCACCACTGGTTGTAACTGTGAAAAACGGTCATAAGTCACCTTTTTCAGTGCTATTGTATCTTCAAATGGTAACTAAACAAACTGTTGTAAGTTGAAGGCTTACAACTCTTGAAGGCTTTCAGAATAACTATAGCAATAATTAATAACTACTACAAAATAACTTTGATAATAATAGAAGATCTCTGTTCACAAATTTAGATCTAAAAACATAAAATAAAAAATATAGTTTTTTTAAAAAAATACATAGTAAAAAATTGCTTTATAATGGCAAGTAATTAGTATGGACACATATCAAAACATGATTTAAATGAGCCGTGGTGGCACAGTAGTTAGAGTGCAGTACTGCAAGCTACTTCTGCTGCCTGCCGGCTGCCTGCAATTTAGCAGTTCAAATCTCACCAGGCTCAAGGTTGACTCGGCCTTCCATCCTTCCGAGGTCAGTAAAATGTGGACCCAAATTGTTGGGGGCAATATGACTCTAAACATCTTAGAGACGTCTGTCAAGCACTATAAAGTGGTATATAAGTATAACTGCTATTGCTATTGCTAAATTCTACTAAATAGGCACTTTTCTTTAATAAAAATATTGTTTTAAATCTTTTTAAAATTAAATCCTTTAATAAATCAAGAAAAATCTATAAACATAGTTTAAAGGCTTTTATTTTGCAGACTTGTAATTGATAGATTCATAAGATATTAGGAAACTGAGAGCAGATTTAAAAGCCAAATAACAGCTATCAGTGTATAAGGACATTAGACAAATGGGAATTTTAAAGAACAAAATGGATAATGTAATTGCAATTTATTTGAGAGAAATGACTGTGAAGCACATTAAGTAATATATAAATAGCACTTTTCCTATATAATAGGAAGATTCAAAATTTATTTTGATTTTTTGCATAATTTAGCACATATAGTAAAATTTCTGGAAGCACAGGCAAATGTAGCATCTCCGGTAATGCTAAAAAAGACTTCAAGATTGTCTTGGGAGGAGAGGCTTCCAGATCTTTTCTAGTACCTAGTAAACAACAATTTGAATCCAAAGCTATAATGTGGTTCTGACAAACAGTTATTGCAGTTTCAGGTAACATTATTGTGAATCATAATTTGCATCTCTTGGATAATGCTATGATACTTAGGCCTGATTCCACAGAGAGAAAATGGTTTAGACTATGAAAAGAAATACTGTATACCAATAGGTACAGGTTTACCTATCCAGAATTTGGTGATTATAATGAAAATAAGTTTGTTTGAGATGGTAACTTCAGGTTGAAGTGAACAATAAGTTGGGGAAAGGGTTCTTAAACCTTTGCTCTTCTTGCAAGTCCCACCCCTTACCCCCATTTTTTTTCGTCATCCACTATGAGTCAATGACAAGTGGAAATCCTGAAAGTTTCTGTAAAGTGTAACATTTTCTTGGCAAGAATTTTTCTGCTTGCCTATTAAAATAACTTCTTTAGGTATAGGGTAAAGTATGCTTTATCCTCAGGGCCGGATTTTCCTATAGGCTAACTAGGCTTCAGCCTAGGGCCTCAAGATCAAGAGGGGCCTACATTCAAATTGTTAGCAAAATTAAAATTACACTTTCACTATAGGTGAAAGGGCCTCATAAGTGGAATAGCCTAGGGCCTCTTTTCATCTAAATCCGGCCCTGTTTATCCTTCTAAGAAATGAGAGGGAGCATGGAAAATAGTAACAGTAACAGAGTTGGAAGGGACCTTGGAGATCATCTAGTCCAACCCCTGCTTACCCAGAAGACCTATACTAGGGTTTTGAACCACCAACCTTTCTGATCAACCTTGCCGACCTTTCTGATCAACAAGCTCAGTGTCTTAGCCACTGAGCCACCTCCCCATTAAATACTATACAGTTGCCTCAGACACACAGTTTGGCGTGGAGCTGGAAGAACTTGGTCCCTGAATTTGAGACATTTTTACTCTTGCAACGAGGCTTCTTTGTCCAACTGAAAATAAAAATCACCAAGTAATTTATGCAAAGTAAAAGAATTTATTAAGAGGAGTCAATACAGTAGAGAAACAAATGACACATACATTTAGTATATGTGATATATCAGAAAGCAATAAAAATATTGGTTACATGTGAACAGTAGAAAACATTGATTCTAGATAACATTCCACAAGTGGCAAAGTTATGGTTCACATTACTCTTTTTTCCAGTAAGTAAACTTTTCCCAGTTTACATTACTCTTTTCCCAGTGTGTTTCTTTCCTAAAACTTCCATGTGTATTCAGGGACTTTCAGAATATGTTTCTAATGTGTAGTTGTTGAAAAAGTAAATTCTCACACATAGCAAACAAATGGCCTTGACTCAGAAGAGAAGTGAAAAAAGACTGCCATGTCAAAAGTGCTAATAACAACTTTCAATGTTAATAATGAACCTAAAATTTGAGGCAATAATATCATGGACACCAATTTTCCATGACATTAATGTATGTTTTGGGGATCTACATATAAGAGTAGCTCAAACTTTATTGTGGTTAAAAACTAAATAATACTCTGAGGAAATGATCACAAAACCTCTTTCTTTGGCTCTTTTCCAGATATGTTAATTTGACCAAGAATATTTTAGGTTGGTGGTGCTCAACTTCAGCAACCTTAAGATATGTAGATTTCCATGTCCGAAATTTCATAGCCAGTATGCTAGTTGCGGAATTCTGGGAGTTGAAATCCGTTAAAGTTGATGAGATTGAGAAACACAGCTTTCAGTGCATGCTATGTTTTTGGGGAACTGAATATTTAGACTATTTATCTCATTAGTTTTTGAAGTAACAGCTCCATGATATTAAAGACTGTAGATGTGCTAGTAACCTAGTAACTTGCAGATCTCTCTTTGTCAGATATTACAGAATTCCCTTTTCAAGAATTTTATAGAAATAAAGGCACTTAATATTTCTTGAACATGAGTGTGACTAATGAATGCCATATTTTGACCAAGAAATATATATGAATTATATGTATATGCAAATATAATATTTTTAAATGGTCTCTATCTATACACTGAGACCAAAAGACAAGAAGTTCTGGCAGCTTGCAGTAAGATAATGAGTGGCCTTGGTTCTTTGCACACTTCATTTCCCAACATGTGCTTTGCATCCTAATACCTTAATGCATGGGCCTCTTTCATTCAAACTGTTCCAACCACGATGGTAACTAAGGCCTTCTTTTTGTTCCCTGCCAGACTAATAATATGTTCCTTCTAGGTGCTACCAAAAGAATTTTCCACGCACAAAACTATCAGGCGATCTGAGCATCTCCAGCTGGTCTCCAGGAGGAATATGTCCTTCAGCGGAATAGAGGCCTGTCCTGTTAAATATTTGGATGCTTTTCTCCAGTTTTCACAGTCTTGAATTTTGGAGTGGTTTATCTGAAGCACCAAGCCATGCCAGACAGCTTTGTTGATCCTGAAAATTCAAACAACAGGAATTGTACAAAAAAAGGAAAGATGAAGTCAGTGTTTCACAATGCTTAAGCAGACAGTGTCTTGTGACGGGAAAGCCTAGGCATGCAAATAATTTCTGCTCTCCTTGCCTGTGTGCTCAGAAATATGTTTCAATAATCTTCTTCTTCCATGTGATTGAAGGAATTAAATGGTGACCATGCTGCCAAACCTATGTGGACCTCATAATTTCTTTCAGTGTTCAGTACAGGCCATATTGTTATTCTTACAACACTCCTAAAGAGGCTAGCGTTACTCGCCAATGTACAGAAGGCAATAAAAATGGAAGGTGACCTTGTCAGACAGCTATTTGCCAAGTTAAAGAGAATAGCAATGGAAAAACATCCCTTGCCTGAGGAAAACATTCATTTTTCTTAACCATATACTTGTGCCTCCCCCCCTCCCCCCCCCCCCCGGAAATATAACATACACTTAGTTTCCCTTGTGGCTTGTCAGATATTTCTCTAGTACTGCTTTTTCTACTTTGTATTGGGGACTTGCTAATTGAAGTACACACACCTTAAAGCTGATGGGGTTCAGAAACACTGCCCTAAGCATTTTTTTTCTCTTGTTCTTCACTTCAGAAAAAATGAATTCTTTTCTTAAGACACTGTTTGTAATTTTCCAAAATTATTTATCATATGGATGCTCTATCTACATTTTACTCACCATGCAGGGTCGGTCATAACATTCAGCCCATTGAACGCATAGATGGGGTACTCCTTGGTATTGAAATCAGAAATTCCATGCCTTCTGAAGAGGGAATTCCAGCTCGTTGCCAATAGCTGACCCTGTAGCAAAAATAAGATTTAGAACTTTTTTACACTTGCCCCTAACTAGGGCAGAAACGCGGTGCAGCAAAATCTTTTTTCCTGCCATTTTTGATGATGTGACTGTCATTTGATGACTGAGACATCCTGAATTATTTCTGTATTACAGGAGTATTTTCTAATTCTAACCCAAGTCTTCTATTTTTGTTGTGTTCCAATTAGTAGAAATTTAAGCAAAACTTCTGTTGGGGGCATGGCCAGGTGATCCTTAATGAAGGGAGTTGTCCCACTTTTACTGGCTAGTTTAAACAAGTGGGCATGCCTATCCCTACATCTCTGAGCATTCCCCTCTGGAAACATTCTGGTCTGGTTAAGAGAGGCAACATTTTTAAAACCAGTTTCTCTCCCAGTATTTTCCAATTCTCTAAAGTTGGGGTTTGGTTTCTCACCTGGCTCTGAAAGAGGCAACGTCTTAGGTAATGAGGGGCAGACTTTGTGACATGAGGCCGCACAACACAGCAAGACAGCTCCTTCCTGCTTCACACACAAACCCTCCCCATCAGCTGCTAGGCAGCTATTTTCAAGTATGGATTTACTGCTTTTTGAAAAAGTGGAAATCTTATTTGAAAATGAACTGATCTAGCAGGCAGTGAGATGGAGAGATATTGAACTATGAGGCAGGAGAGAAGATAAGAAAAAAATCCTCTCTGCTGTTTTGAAACACCATCCAAAACAGCTGATAGGTACTGTGCTCCTCTTTTCCCAATAGTGTACAAGTCTTGCTACTGAAATGCTTGGTGACACCTTGCCGATGATAGAGCAGTGACGGTGAACCTATGACAGGTGTATCAAAGGTGACACTCCACAAAGTTTTGGGTAACATGCCAATATTCATCAACATCTGACATTAATTATTTTTGAAAGCATGTCCCATTCTCATGTGATTTTGGGGGGCTGTGCTCTTGTGCCAACTCCAGAGCGTCTGAAAATCTGGCAAGAATAGGAAGTGATTTTGCAGTTTGCAGAGGCTGCAGAAGCCTGGAAGAGCATTCTCTGGAGCAATTTGAAGAACAAAGACATTGTGTGACCCAGAGCAGCTTCAGATAGGCTGCAGCGGCCTGTCAAGAGAAAGAGAATAGCACCTGAAGATAAATGGCACACAGCAGATCATGGGGATGACACACGATTGGACTGAATTTTTAAAAAAGAAATGAATATGTAAAGAATTGCTTTTCTTTCATCTCTCTCTCGCTCTGTGTGTGTGTGAGAGAGAGAGACATGGCAAGAGAGTCAAGTTTAGAATTTTCTGAATTTTTGATAATGCTGAGCCCAAAAGCCCAACACCGACACCATGATGGAATCAGGAACTGGGATCTGCCTTGCTTTCTGCCATTCCACTTTGATTATGGAGGGCATTACCCTGCCCAGCCGTCTGTCTGGGTCAGTTGAGAGGGTGGATATCTACCATGTATCAGGAACCTGTGAGTTCTGCATTGCCTTAGGCACGAAAGCTAGCAGGATGAGTTTGGACTAGTTAATATCTCTCAGCTCAACACATCTGACAAGGTTGTTATAGAGAAAAAGGAGATAAGAGTATTAAGGATATGTTAAGTATGTTTAATTGGGGCGTAGTGTTTTGTATTTTGTATTTATGTTTTTAATTTATATAGTTTTATTACTTATGATCGTAAGCAGCACAGAGTTACTTTGAGGTAAGTTGGGTGCCCTATAAATTTTATAAACAAACAAACAAATAAATATGTTCACTGTCTTGATTTGACTAAATATATTAAAAATGTCTACTGCTAAGAATAATAATACTTTTCTGCCAATTCAGGGATTAGAGGAATACATATTAATATGAGAGAGATACTTTATTTCAAAGATTAGATTAGATTAAATAAAACTTTATTTCAAAGTTTTGTTTAGATAGTTAAGGAACTTTACAACAGCTATTTTTGTCATTTCCTGTACAAACAGAATTAAATTCTCCACAACTTCCATTTGGAAACCAGGCATTGGATTTAGTTGGGCAACGTAAACCAATCTTGATCTGCCATAGTCCTATCCAAGAAGGAGCCAATAAGAATCTGTTACTAACCTTAAGGTTAACAAGTGGCAAATTCCTGTCTGTTCTCTTCACAACTGAGCTAAGGCTTTGGGTATCTGATGACAGGAAGGCTCGGAAAGTTCCTTGCAGATTTGCCTCTTGGGCCTGATGATGGCACTGTAGGTCCACTCCACTAATCCCTCTCATGTTACCAGTCAAAGGGAAATTTAGTGCTACTAGGCGGAGCTGGAAAGTGAAAGAAATCCAGATAAGTATCACACATGTCATTGAAGTAGAATCTAATTCAATAGAATGGATTAGTTGATGCCCATCAGGTTTTATTCCTTATCTCAAAAGACCTGTTTGCATTTTAGCATTGAAGCCAAGTTCAATCATATAACCAAATAAGTACCCAGGGGGATGATAATTAAACATTCACAAATTATCCCACACATCAAATCTCTTGTTCCCAAGTATTCTTGGGAAATCATGACAGTTAAATGAAATCCATATATGGTAGATTTATATTTTCTGTGCTGTTACATGACTTGCTTTCTTAAAAACAACATCAACCCAAGACTATAGCTCTAAAGATAAATATAAAGGGTATACAAATATATTAATTTACCCATTATTCATTTAGATAATTTCATGAACTGCCAATCAGATATTGCAATAAACTTTTAACTCCCTTGACTTTATTGATCCCAGCCTCATAGGATGGACAACAAAGGCAATTAGGCTACATAAACTTTATCCAAAACGAAAGCCTCCCAATATATACTGCAATTTCTAAAATTTTGTAGTTAACCTGCTAACTAGAAATGTGGGGGGTGGGGGTCTATTCTTAATACTTCTAAAGGGCACTGAGTTGAGGAAAACATTTTAAAGCAGTTTCTGCTTTTCTGAATGGGCGATGATTGCTTGTTTTTGGAAGTTCTTGGTTGTCTATAACTAAAACCAGTTAGATTGTTTGTCCCGGAAGGTATATGAGGATTTTTTTTTTTAAAAAAAGTATTGTGCCAATGATTTGTCTTGTTGAACTTACTGAAGGAATCCTCTGGGGGATGCTTGTTGGTGCAATTGTCAGAATTATTATGTTTCTTTCATCAAGCTGGAACCAGAAAGAAGGATTACTATATTATTCTGTATATGGAAGATTTATAGACCTTTTGATCAATTCTTTATAATAAGATGCGAATCCCAAACCCACCCAATCAAGCAGCCCTTAATTCTTTCACTATTCACTGCAGTTGTCAGACAAAGCAGTGGCAAGAAGAAGCAGAAGCTAAAAGATCATTTTGCTTAGTCTGTCTCATTTTAGTATCACTGCCATGGATAATCACTATCACATGGATGACAATCAGAATCAAAATAATTGATTTATTTTCTGTTTGGGAAAGAAAATGCTGGGACAGCAAGAATAATGATCCCAGCACCAGATTGATAGTAGAAAGTCCTTCTGTCACTGGATCATTCTGCTTTAATTTATACCTTCTCACTTTAAATAGAAAATCACACTAATTTTAACAGCACACATGCTTTTAGTGGCTGTCTATTATTTGCAGCATTTCTTTGGCATGCCATACAATATGAAAACAAATTGTAGGTTGTACTGGGAAACCTTACTGAGCCTTTATATTAAAAAGACTATTGCAGGAGTTAGTATTAGAAACTGGTAACAATTTCGGTCAGATTTACTGTATTATAAACAGGAAATGAAATACAGTTTGTAGATACCTTCAATGTGTGCAGCTATCAAGTAAGGAAACAAGAGGATATTCACTGATATTTTTTTTTGTTCTTCAATTTTTCAATCCAAGGAATTAGAATATTCAGCATTGTTTTTTAACTCTTCATGAAATGTTACCATCACAAATTAATTATGCAAATATGACACATACAATATATTTTGAAAACATATTTCTTAGGGGTTTTTTTTGTGAGTGTACCTGAGGACCTCATTCAGAGCCAATAAAGTGGCTTATTTGATTCTGGATGAGGGCTGGGGTTGTGTGGATTTTCAAATCCATAATTCAAAATTGTGAATTTTTTATTTTTATTTTTAATGTTGTATGCTGCCTGGAGTCATTGTGTATGACTTGGGTGCAGTGGTGGGTTTCAAAAATTTTTACTACCAGTTTGTGAGTTTGGTTTGCTGGGTGTGGCTTGGCTTGGCTTGGCTTGGTGGGCATGGCTTGATGGGCATGGCAGGGGAAGGATACTATAAAATCTCCATTCCCTCCCCAATCCAGGAGAAGGTTACTGCAAAATCCCCATTTCCTCTCAGTCAGCTGGGACTCAGGAGGCAGATAATAGATGGGGGTAGGGCCAGTCAGGTGGTATTTACTGGTTCTCTGAACTACTCAAAATTTTCGCTATCGACAGTGGTGGATTGCTCCCGGTTCGCACCAGTTCGGAAGAACCGGTAGTAAAAATTTGTAGTAGTTCCGAGAACCGATAATAACATTGGCTGGCCATGCCCCCAAACTGGTCCCCGGCCCGGTCACCGCTCACTTATCCCGTCCACCTCATCAGAGGCTTTTTTAAAAAAACTTTTAAAAGCATTTTTTCTACAACCTCTTCGGCCGAAAAAATGCTTTTAAAAGTTTTAAAAAAAGCCTCTGATGATCCCGCGGCTCAGCTGGGATTGTCAGAGGCTTTTCAAAGCATTTTTTCTACAACATCTTTAGCCAAAGAGATGGTAAAAAAATGCTTTGAAAAGCCTCTGACGATCTCAGGTGAGTTGCCTGATCGGCAGAGGCTTTTCAAAGCTTTGTTTTCTGCAACTCTTTGGCTGAAGACGTGGTAAAAAAAATGCTTTGAAAAGCCTCTGATGATCTCAGCTGAGTTGCCTGATCATCAGAGGCTTTTCAAAGCATTTTTTTCTGCAACCTCTTAAGGTTGTAGAAAAAATGCTTTTAAAAATTAAAAAAAAAAAGTTGGCCATGCCCACCCAGTCCCCACCAAGCCACGCCCACAAAATAAGCCACGCCCACAGAACCGGTAGTAAAAAATATTTCAGAACCCACCCCGGCTACCTGGTCTCCAGACCTGGTCAGAACCTGCTGAAATCCACCTCTGCTTGCTCTGAGAATAAGAGTATCTAGAGGATACTAGAGGATAATATGGAGGTGGCAGCAGCTCAGTCATTACTGGATCTTAAGGAGAGCTGAATAGCTATCCCAAAGGATTTTATTAATGTATGTGATCCTTCAATAAATCAGAATACATGCCCCAATTTACAGAGTTGTATCACATAATCTTATAATTTATTATTATTTTTATTGAAAAATATTGTATAATATCGCCCAAGGTAAAGTTTCCTCAGAACAACTTACAAAGTCCTGTTTTAAGATAAACTAAGTACAAAAATCACACAGTAAATATTTGCATACATCCCTTTACCATTATCAAATTTTCTTCTCAAAGATGTCATCTAAATGGCCCTGTGCAGAGATTGAAAGCCATTTTTTGCCATCATTGTACCAAAGCAAACTCCTTAAATACAGTACTGATTTAACAATACTATTGTACAAGCACTGACACGGCATAAAATGCTGGAAAAATTTCTCACCTGGTTATCTTCCGTAGACACCAAAGGGTCATCAGCTGCAAATAGAAGCGTGGAATCCTCCATCTAGTCAAGGAAACACATACAGTACAGGAAAAGACGTATAAAATTTAGCAGTGTTGCTACACAGTTCAAATAAGCAAGCCAAGATCCTTCATGAAAATCCAATGCCTGATAAATTCAGTAGTTAATCTGCCTTGAAAAAAAAATGAAATTTATATTATGAAACATAAAAAGTCAGCTATATTAGTCTGTCTAGTCCAGCTTTCTGAAATCAACAATTCTAACCAGATATCTGAATAGAAAAAAAAAGCAAATTCAATAATCTTTTAAAACACTATCAAATTCTACTCTAATTAAAGGGATTATTACAATGGCTCCTACCACAATTTTTTTCCATCCTTTGTGGGTCTTGAAGAAAGCTTCAGCCTCTTTAATGATGTAGACCAAACTGCCTTCAGGAATGGAGGAAGCGGATTTCAACATGAGCTCTTTTGAACTGAAGGTCCAGGTGGCATGCTGAAAGGAAAGCAGAAAATATCATATACTGTATCACATCTCTTTTAATAAAAAATATCACTGGATCATATTTAGCCTGTAGTGGGAAAGATTTGTAAACATTTTTGGATTAGCTGGTCAGTTTTGATGCTTGGTAATTCCTAAAATTTACAATTGATCTGATTTACAATTTGTCTGATTTGCAAACATTGTTACAGCTATCACCCTGGACAACTATAGATTTCTTTTATAGAAAATCATTATTTTGTAATGAAAACAATATAAGCACCCCTAACAAAACATAGTACATATATAGGTAGTTAACACCATCTTTTAAAAGAACAGACTGAAAAAATTATATGGCATGATCCGTTAACTCTGATGGGTCTATATCAGTTCAGAAAGTGTTTCTGAATCTCTTTGTCTTAAATGCATAATACAAAGACTATTTGAAAAGTACTAATTTACTTTTACAATTAAAAAAGCAAAATGTGTGCCTTAAGCCACCTATTTTCTGTAGCCTTCCTCCAGCATCTTATTAAACAAAAACAAGAAGAGAAAAATAAATGAATAATAAATACTTGTGACTGCTTCCCCATCTATGTATCATAGCCAAACTTCAGTGTAGCTTCCAGAAGCCAGATTAAAAAATATATACATCTGTAATCTGTAAATATTTGCCCATCTATGCCCATCTCTGCCGACTTTGGGGGAGAAATCAAAATGGAGAAACCTGTACTAATAACGCACCTTATATCCATTCTGGCTATTGTCAGGAGAATCCTTCATAAGTTCAGTATCTGTATAAGAAAAGCAAGTTTGAATGAATATACCCTCCCTTCTCAGAATATACATATTTTCCTCTATATGAACTAGGAATTTGCTTCTTTCTTATCCTGCAGATGCCAAACACTAAATTTATGCCAAGGTAGAACAGAAGAGGATTCTGCAAGGGCAGGAAGTACCTCAGGTTTTCCCACAAATGAAGGATAGCAACATTTCCCTTTAACATCCTGCCAAAGCCACATCAGCCCTGCTTTGCACTTATGTTCTTCTATTTTTCTGTTGTACAGGTAGTCCTCAACTTGTGACCTCAGTAGGGACTGGAGTAACCATCACTAAGCAGTGCAGTTGTTAAGTGAAGCATCGCGTGACTGCACCTGATTTCATGGCCTATTTGCTATTCTAATTAAGGAAATTACTATAGTCATTAAATGAGACATCACATGATTGCGACTTGTGACCTTCTGGCTTCCCCATTGACTTTGCTTGTCAGAAGCCAATTGGGAAGGTTGTACATGGTGATCATGTGACTGTAGGATACTGTGAACATTGCAAGTGTATGACAATTGACAACCACCTGAATTACAATCACGTGGCTGAGGGGATACTGAGATGTTCATAAATGTGAGGACTGTTTGTAAGTCACTTTTTTCAATGCCATAATAATAAATTAAATGGTTGCTAAATAAGTAAGTCAAGGACTACTTATAAACTTGATAATTCAGTTAGGAACCATAGCTATGGTAGGCTGCATAGCCAGAGAAAACATCAAATTGATCAGTCCTAAAGATTGCAGGATTGATAGGTTGGCCACAGATTAGGAAAAACTAAGGAATTCATGCAAAGTGTTTGCACAATTAAAAAAAATGCATATATTTTTGTTCCAACTACAAAGAGGAATAAGATAATACCTGAATCAAGACATGGATCCTGGTTCACCTGAAAGGAATAAGAAAAGAGACAGATGCCACGTCATGGGGAAATGCTCCTAATTTTGAAAGATATCTTTTTCTTTCACCAAACTTTTAAATTATTATACCAAATTATTATACTGATTTTATATGTTAATTTTAATATATTAATTTGTTTATATTTTTATCGTAAGTTGCCTAGACTACTATAATAAGCAGAAAGGTGAGATATACTTTCAGTAATGAAAAACTGAAGATATTAGTCAAGATACACACACAGACATATGCGCATGCACACATGCACACAGACACGTGTGTAACAATACTTTTTTGGTTTTCAGTGCAGGGTTGGAACTATTGATGAATTTGTTTTTTAGTCTGCTTTTTCTCATTGAGAAAGAGGTTATTTAACCTCATTTTGTCCCTTGTATGCAGGTAGGAATCCTTGGAATTTAGGATCAACAGAATTAATATTTACAAAGATCCAGCCTTCCTTATTTTTTTTTTGGCTGTTGTAACTTTGTTTCACTTGCAAAATGGAGTTTAAAGATATCTTTTATATAAATGCCTCTTCTACCTCAAAGGAATCCTGAGACAGCAAGGATACCATGCCAATCATAATTCCAGGTACTGCAAGTATTGTAAAAAATCAACTGAGAAATGGTATGAGAGTTCTGACAGCAGGATTGTTGGGCAGCCAACTAGTTTGGCACAGCAATAGGAAGGCCTAATTTTTCTTGCTGTATTTTGTTTTATGCTAAACTGTTCCCTATCCTCTCAAGTAGCTCCTTGCTCAAATTGGTGAAACATAGACTTGGCAGAAAAGGATCATCAGCTGACATGACTTTAGGATAACTTCAAATTAAGATTTATACTATGCATGGAATTATCCAAGGGATTGGAATGGGAGTACAGACCATATCACTTTGTGTAGCCACAGAAAACCCTTTAAGGAGAGGTACCTGGAAGAACCGCTCACTATCTTTTGGACAGATAGGACAAGTCATCCATCTAGAAGCATCTCAATGCCCTGTCAAAACTGTCACCTCCAGATCAACTGCTTTTGCTTGAGAGTTCTATGCAGAGCACCTTCTTATTGGTTGCCTCTCAAATAGCTTAGGACTTCTTCAATAAACAATGTAATGGGGAACTGTCTTTGCATGATGCGACTATGAAGGGGCAATCTTATGACTTAGTCAACTCACCGGCTGCTTGCAATGTGGCCTGGGTCGGACTGGGTACACTCTCTGGAAGGATATTATAAAGCATATAGATAAAGAGGAAGATGTTTTCGCCCTCCCCTCCACCCACCCAATTTCTTTCTCTGAACAAGAAAGACATTCCCATTTCCTGAAGTATTAATTAACTTCCTACTTCATTTCAATTTTGGCTTTGGGCTAGTATGATTTTAGCCATTCTGATATGGTCTGAGCAACAAATTTCTTTTGCCTTTTAAATATTATCTAATACTTAAGGGGAATGATAATCTGTTATTTCATTCTACTCATAAAGATCAATGCCATCAGATGGGGGTTCAATTCCTCAAAGGCAAAAAAGCTTTTGGCTACTCCTATTATTCATCCTTCATGGGATTAGTCTCCTCCTATGAATGGTACCACTTGATCCCTGAACTGGATAATAAATAGGGATTCCATAGTGAATGAAAACAGACATAAACAAGCTAAGAGCAGTCAAGGAAGGGGTATTTCTTCCTTATTCACTGCTTATGTGCCATAATTATCTTCAGTTTCAAAACAGGCTAGTGTTCCTTAACAGCAACCAATAGTAAGAATTATGCGCATTATGCAAAATATCTAAAAAACTGAATTTCTAGTTTTCAAAATAATAGAGTTGGAAGGGACTTTGGAGGTCTTCTAGCCCAACCCTCTGCTCAAGCAGGAAACCCTATACCATTTCAAACAAATAGTTGTCAAATCTCTTCTTTAAAACCTCCAATGTTGCAGCACCCACAACTTTTGGAGGTAAGTCATTCCACCGATTCCTTTCCGTAAAATGCTTGACTTCCTCTCTACCCATAATACTAATTACGGCATACGATGAGTGGGCTCACATGTTAAAACATTGATGTGTATTTGTTCTGGTTTGAGAAAGTAGGAAAGATCCCCATACAGTGGTGGGTTGCTCCTGGTTCGCACCGGTTCGCAAGAACCGGTAGTAAAAATTTGTAGTAGTTTGGAGAACCGGTAATAACATTGGCTGGCCATGCCCCCAAACCTGTCCCTGGCCTGGTCGCCGCTCACTTATCCCACCCACCTCATCACAGGCTTTTTGTTTAACTTTTAAAAGCATTTTTTCTACAACCTCTTGGGCCAAAAAATGCTTTTAAAAGTAAAAAAAAAAAAAGCCTCTGATGAGCGCGCAATTCAGCTGGGATTGTCAGAGGCTTCTAAAAGCATTTTTTTCTGCAACCCCTTCAGCCGAAGAGGTTGTAGGAAAAAAATGCCTTTAAAAGCCTCTGGCGATTCCAGCTGAGTTGCCTGATCGTCAGAGGCTTCTAAAAGTATTTTTTTCTGCAACCTCTTCGGCCAAAGAGATTGTAGGGAAAAAGATGCCTTTAAAAGCCTCTGGTGATCCCAGCTGAGTTGCCTGATCATCAGAGGCTTCTAAAAGCATTTTTTCTCTACAACCACTTAAATGCTTTTAAAAGTAAAAAAAATGCTTTTAAAGTAAAAAAAAAAAAGTTGGCCATGCCCACCCAGTCACATTACCCCCTCACCAAGCCACGCCCACAAAATAAGCCATGCCCACAGAACCAGTAGCAAAAAATTTTAGAACCCATCCCTGTCCCCATAATAGTGTGTTTCTCAACCTCAAAACTTTAAGATATGTGGACTTCAATTCTCCAGCATGCTGGCTGGGAAATTCAGGTAGCTGAAGTCCACACATTGTAAAATTCAGGCACACTGCCATATTGAGTTACAACATTTTCTACAGTCATCTAACTATTATGAGTTAGTAGCACAAATTAGTAGCGATGGGACAATCTTTTATTGCCTCATTAGTATCTGAGATTCTATGACACTAAAAGATTCTATAAATCACAAAGGGGTGAGGGTGGAGTGAGGATCCTTCTTCATTCACAGAATTTTACAAGCTGTTAGGAATCCTGTGTTTGCAGTCTAGTCCTGCAACATACCATCATTCTATTCCAGAGAAAATCCATCAAAAAGGAAAAGACAGAATAATGGAGTGTTGGCAGAATTAAATAGGAGAGTTAACTTACATTTATATAAAGTACACCGGGTGGTCCAGGAGGACCTGGAGGGCCAGGCTTTCCTGCAGGGCCTGGAGGTCCCTGGAAGAGATAACACTATTACTTTGCCTATTTGGAAATTAAGTTTTGCAGAGATCGATAATTTCCTGCAAGTAATTCCTGTGGGTGAATGAATTTTATGTGGCAGATCCATAGACACCAATGTTCTATCACAATGTAAATTGTAGAAGCGTTCTGCATATACAATAGGAGAGCATGCATGGCTCATTCAGACATGGAATTTTCTTTGAGGAAAAAGTTAGGATGGGATTTAAGATATCCCAAAGTTCAAAAAAACAACACATATTTTTTATGGGATCAAACTGAAACAAAACTAGGAACTTTGCAAGTAATGGTAAATTGGATGTGACGTACGTGGTTAGCCTCTACACCTTCTTTCAATTTCTGGAAGAGAGAGAGAGAAAAGGAAGTAAATTGACTAATCACCGACACTGACATATTGCATCAGTCTACACTATATTCACTTAAACTATTCCTTAAAATATTTTAATATTGATGGAAGATATCCTAATTTACAAATATATATATAGGTAGTCCTCAACCTACAACTTTCAGTTTGTGACCATTCAAAGTTACAGCAGCACTGAAAAAAGTGACTTATCTCCACTTTCACACCTACAACCATTGTGGCGTCTCCATGGTCACATGATCAAAATTTGGACACTTGGCAATTGGTTGGTATTTATAATAGTTGCATTGTCCTGGAGTCACATGATCCCTGTTACGACCTTCTGACAAGCAACATCAATGGGGAAGCCAGATTCACTTAACAGCTGTGTTACTAACTTACCAATGGCAGTTATTCACTTAACAATGGTGGCAAGAAAAGTCATAAAATGGGGCAAAGCTCACTTGTGGTCATAAGTCAAGGACTACCTGTATAAAGTTTTTCCCCCCCTGAAATGGTTATCTATGGGCAACCAAAGAGGTTTAAGTCCACTATATAATTAGAAGAAAGCCCCTTGAATTTAGAGAAGCAGAAAAAGTGAAAACATGCTAACTGTTTCTAGTTAGGACAGTGTAGCTGTGAGAAGTCTATGTTAAAAGAACTGTTGGAGCATTTAATGCAGCTTGCAGAGTTTTTATCTGTGCAACAATATCGGTTTGCCTCCATTATGTCCTGATTTTGGTATTTGTAAATGGAGCAAATAATGAAATGACCCACAAAAATCTACAGAGTTCTTTCCTCTGAGAGAAATCAAATTATATTGTATCTTTGGATTTCTCTCCATGAGATAAAGTGGATAATTTGCCAAGCCTATCTTGGAATGAAGCCTCTGCCCAGCAGTTTTCCAGATTTCCCTAGACTGATATTTCAGAATGGGAGGAAGGGAGAAAAAGTTACATTGGTTAGAAGTGAGTAGTTAGAACTACTCTCCCTGACCAATAATTAAACAGGGATTAAACATCTCTCTAACATACCTTTTGGTAGATAAAAGTTACCCAAGAATCAATGTCACTTCTTGCATCCTTGCAGCTGCTACATTCCTGTGGGAAAATAAGTGTTTTTAAGCCTTCTAGAGAATTTTAAAGTAAAATAAAAAATAATTTATTTTCCATCAATGAGCCTTGAAGGAAGGGATATTGTTTTCTATGACTACGCACCACTTTTCCTGGTTCTCCTTTTTCACCCTGCAAAAAAATCAAATAAACAAAATGAATAAATAAATCAGGTAGTAGGATTGCAAATTCTTGGTTCTGCCTTCTTGAAAGCAAGCTTATAAATAAGCAGGATAGTAAAGCTGTATTTGGAGGTGGAGGAACTGATCTTTTCATTACAAAATGACATTTGTGGTAGTAGTTAGAGATTCGTGACATGGATTTCATTTTAAAAGCTGGAATGCATCTAGATTTTTGCTGTTGTAGCTCTCTCCATATGAATCCTTACCTTTAAAAAGTTCTTATCATTATTCTTATTAGTTCAGTGAATATTTCTCCATGGTAAAAGCTAATTTAACTCTGAGGGTTTCAAATAATGCCATCATTGCTATTTTGCTGTAAATTGCTAGCAGCATTGAAATAGACTTTCTATATGGATAGGATAGGAGGACTTCTTGATGTTCTTGAATGAAAGTTCCCAGCAGCTCCAGCCAGCTAGGACAGTGATGAAGGATGCTGAGAACTGCAATACCTGGATTGCCTTGGATTGTCTATCTATGGCTGTTGAATTTGTCCTGGACAAGAAAACAAACAACTAAATTTGACTAATTAAAATGAAATTCAATAGGTTAACAGGATTTCTCCTGTTAACAGGAGTTCATAACAGTTATAATATGTTATGAATATGTTATAACATAACAGTTATAATATGTTATATATAACTAGTGGTTTAAGGAAGGTCTCAGAGAGTTACAGGATAGTCTTCAGCTTACAACTATAATGGAATATCAGAGTTGTCAAAGTGACTGACCAACTTTAGAAATTCTTTTTGGGGCAGTCTTCAAGAGAACGTGGCAGTTGAAAAATGACTGCTGCAGTCTTTAAACAAACACTGCAGTCATTAAGTGAGCCAATGGGAATGGTTTTTGCTGACAAGTGAAAGAAAATGACAGTTTTTGGCAAAAGTGGTGTAAAACATAGTCACATTACTTTAGCTGTAAATACAGCTGGGTTGCTGAATGCCAAAGTTTGGTCATGTAACTATGAGGTGTTGTGTGTGTGTGTGTGTGTGTGTGTGTGTGTGTGTGCTGGCTGTCAGAACTTCAAATCTGGAAAATAAATAGCCTCAAGTAGGTAGGCCTGTTGTAACAGTTGCGAAGTGACCGGTTGTAAGTTGAGGACTACAAATACTGAAGCTTTAAAGTGTTATTGAGATTACTGGGACTGCAGCTTGTACTCCTGTTCTCTAGGAGGTTTAAATCCAATGCACACGTATGACTTGCAGGCTAGCTAGAAGGACAATCAGCAGCCATAGGATATGGCTAAGACCACTACTCACCTTAGGGCCAGGAGGACCTTGAACACCGACTTCAGAGTTACACTAGAAAGAACAAGAGAAGGGATCAGTGCAGCCCATAGGAATAACCCCATCCCTATTATCAGTGTATGCAGATAACACACTTTTGATCTTTCTTATGTGTACTCTTGTTAGAATGCTGTGTTTATGGCTGGAGACAAAACAAATAAACCATGTCAGACAATGAAGAATTATCCTGACTATATTCATGTATTCAAAAAGATGTCTTTGCTTATAAAATACCCCCCTCTCCTATCCAGGAATAAAATGTTCTTCTCTTTTGGCATCCATTAAAGGAGTGAACAGTAGGAGGCAAATAGCAAAACATAATTTTGAATTGTGAATTGGTGTAAACCCAAAAAAACCCATTTGACTTTTTGGGGTCTTTCCTTTAACCCACAATATGAGTATAAATTTTTAAAAATTCTATTATATTCCATCTTGCTGAATATTGTAGGGACATTGAGATATCATTAAAATTGTCACAGCTGGAAAGTTGGATTTTGTTGTGTTTGTATGCCTTTGGGAAAGGACCAAGAATCTGTTTGGTCTCTTAAACTTCCCTCCTATGGGAAAATCACCTTAGTTCTTTGGATTTTCAGTTTTAAAGACCAACACTTAAGGTGATTAATTTGCCCCTTTAACCTTCCCCCAATAAAACCCCACTCCCAAAAAGTTTGACCATTTATGCCCTTCCTATTCCAGAGAGTGGAGCTTTAGGGATTTCAAATAAGGGGATGGGGCACAAGTGGTTTACAAGCTGTGAGCACCCCACTCTGTCTCTAAAATAAATAAAGTTATTTTAGGTTTATAACTTTAAAAAATGGAATAAGGAATGCTTCTGGATGCCTGTGACAATGGAAACACCTTACATGGAGAACAAATGGGATGTTGTGTGCTAGCTGGAGGTTGAGTTGCTTCTACTCACCTGATTACTACCAGGTAAGCCAGGTAAGCCAGGTGGACCCTGAGCTCCCTTTTCTCCAGTTTCTCCTGGTTTGCCTGGCAACCCAGGTTCACCACGGTCTCCTTTCTCTCCCTGAAAGGATTTAATACCCACAAATTAGCATAGCAAGTCAAAAACAAACAAATAAACCAGTGGTGGGTTTCAAATTTTTTTACTACTGGTTCTGTGGGTGTGGCTTGGTGGGCATGGCATTGCTTGGTGGGCGTGGCAGGGGAAGGATACAGTAAAATCTCCATTCCCACCCTACTCCAGGGGAAGGTTACTGCAAAATCCCCATTTCCTCCCAATCAGATGGGACTTGGGAGGCAGATAATAGATGGCGGCGGGGCCAGTCAGAATTTCCACTACCGGTTCTCCAGAACTGGTCAGAACCTGCTGAAACCCATCTCTGAAACAAACATATCTCAGGAAATAATCAACTCTGAACACTTTGTTTCTTTCACAATTATATCTTGATGATCAATAATTTTATTTTGTTTTTTTCTCAACTCATTTCTTCATCCACATATCCCACAAATTCTCATAGTAAAGGCAATGATTACCTTTGAGCCGTTCTTTCCGGGAGATCCATTTGTTCCTGGAGGACCTTCTGGTCCAGGCAAGCCTGGTAATCCTGGTGACCCAATCTGGCCTGGAATTCCTGCATGACCTTCAGGGCCGGGGACTCCGGGAGGACCCTCCAACCCCACTGGCCCTGGAATCCCTGAGGGTCCTGTGGCTCCTGGAGCACCAGGTTGGCCTGGAGCCCCAGGAAGCCCCGGAGCCCCTTGCTGGCCTTCATGTCCTGGGAGGCCAGGGGGACCTTGGGGGCCTTCAAGTCCTGGGTATCCTTGGGGTCCTGGATGTCCTGGATGACCAGATACACCTGGTGGACCAGGAGGCCCTTCTATAATACTGGCTCTCTAGAAAACAGGAAGATGACAGAGAAACAGTTGGACACTGGAAAAGGGTAATTTAGCATGTTGAGAACTCATTGTCAGTATCTTCAGCAATACAGTCTTGTCAAAAACTTCAGTGATACTCAAAAGTTAATAGATTCAAGAGGTACAACAGTCATGAGGGCATATTGCTTACCTGTTAAATCTGTTCTTATATAAAGTATATATGTGAACCTCAAGCCATACAGTGCTAAATTAGATGCCATTCAAACTTATTAAGACATCAGCCAGTTTCATTTATATATACAGTATAGTATCTTTTTCCAGTCTGTCATTTATAAATTCATTTGTTGTATTTTTTTAAAAAAAGATGATAAGTTACTATCATTGGCTATCCTTGTTGTAATCAAGGGGGAAATTACATCCATACACACACATGAATATATATACTGCAAGTCTTGGCGTATTCAGGTCTTTTCCCGTGTAAGATTGAGAGTATCTTGGCGATGTTTCAATGAGGTCCCACTCATCATCTAAAGGCTGGTGTCTTTGGCTTCGTGCTTGTGCGAACAAAGTGTGATAGGAGATGCTGTCTCTCTATAAATACTGGTGGGGAGGTGTGGAGTGCTGGCTTTGTTGTTGTAAGCGGGTTGGTTGGCTGTGTTGTTACATCTTGATTAGTTGATGGAGTTGATGTTTGCAGATTAGTTGGCTGTTTCATAATGTAATCAAGATGTAACAACACAGCCAACCAACCCATACCTGCATACCTATACCCGTGAAAATCTATGAAAACAAATATATATATATATATATTCTGAGGTTTTCGCGGGTGTTTGTATGTAGGTCTTTGGTTATTCGGGTTTTCTCCCGCGTAGAATTGGAAGTGTCTTGGCAACGTTTCGATGAAGTCTCATTCGTCATCTTCAGGCTGGTGTTCTCGGCTTCGTGCTTCTAGGAGCTGCCCATTGGGAGACTAAGATAGATCTATTTCGGCCTTATAATGCCTCATCAGTTAGCCACACCCTCATCTCATGTATCCTCCCTGTAAAGGTACAATATTTGTTTTTCCTTTACAATATTTGTTTTTCCTTTTTATTTGTACTTTTACAGGGAGGATACATGAGATGAGGGTGTGGCTAACTGATGAGGCTTTATAAGGCCGAAATAGATCTATCTTAGTTTCCCAATGGGCAGCAAAGGGTCTGCTGGCTGCCAGAAGAAAAAGAAAAAAAAAAGCCCAGAAACTAGTGAATTGTGATTTCACTGAACTAGGGCTGCATAATATCTTGGTTTACGTAGGTAGAACCTGGCTAAAAAGACATAAAACCTACGGAAAAGAAAAAAAAAACATATACATGTATATGTATATATATTCGTTTTCATAGATTTTGATTTTGTAGATATATATATTCTGCACTTTCTATTTTTAATTTTTTTTTAAAGTTCACATTGGTTTTTATCTTTTTAATTTAATTATTATAAAAAGAACTTTGAACTAACATCATTATCTTGGCAGTAAAATTGAAAAGGACATAACGTTGGTGTATGTTTCTTGCCTAGGGTTAAACTGAATGTGTTTCCCCCTCCTGGTCTCATGATCAGCCCATATAAAAGGTCACAATATTGGGTTGTTCACAAGTTGTACAGCCCAATAATGTATAGTCTGATAAGGAAGTCCAGAGTAATAAAGGTTACTTAATATGAAGGGGGAGGCAGCACACAACTTTTTTGGGGTTGGAATTGTGCCTCCTCTTTCTGCCTTAACATCCATATTGTTGTGGCTTAATTAAGTTTTGATTTCACTGTAGTGGTTGAAAAATAATCTACCTTCCCTTTCCTCATTTTAGGCTTTTTGAAGAGCACTGAATTGTGGTTGTAAGATGGGCCACTTTTCTTCTTTACATTCTAGTCCCCAACAAACAAATTCTTAACCCCTTTGCCTCTTCCAACTATGCAGTACACTGGAAGCAACAAATGGATTTACCATCACCAGTTAACTAAAATAACACCAGGTTTTCAAGATCAGCCAAAAAGAAAGCAAGCAAGCCAGTGGTGGGTTTCAAATTTTTTTACTACCGGTTCTGTGGGTGTGGCTTGGTGGGCATGGCAGGGGAAGGATACTGCAAAATCTCCATTCCCACCCTACTCCAGGGGAAGGTTATTGCAAAATCCCCATTTCCTCCCGATCAGCTGGAACTTGGGAGGCAGAGAATAGATGAGGGTGGGGCCAGTCAGAATTTTTATTACCAGTTCTCCAAACTACTCAAAATTTCTGCTACCGGTTCTCCAGAACTGGTCAGAACCTGCTGAAACCCACCTCTGAAGCAAGCAAATAAAACCAGACCACATTTTGAATAAGCATTATGTGAATTTTGGATAACAAGAAAGGTGGATATAGTATCTTTGCTTGGTGAACATAGTATTTTTATATTATTATAAAAACATTGATATTGCTGTAGTCTATCAACAAATCTCACCTTCTCTTCTCCAACCTTAGTATCAGTGAAGTCCAAGATTTTAGGAAGAGTTGAACCTGATGGACCTGGTGGTCCTGGTGGACCTTCTGGTCCTGATGGACCTGGTGGTCCTGGTGGACCTGTTGGTCCTGCTGGACCTGCTGGCCCTGGTAGTCCCTGAAGTCCTGGAATGCCAGGATAGCCAGGTTTGCCAGGGGGACCCTGGTCACCTTTTGCTCCCTGTTGTAAAAAAAAAGAACTTGAGATAAGAAAAACAGTGCACATTCTGCACAACATGGTGGCAGGGGAATTCTGGGAACTGAACTCCAGACATCTTAGAAGATTGAGAAACAGCAGTCTAAAGCATAATCATGGTTTTTCAACATGGTAGATTCCGTATGTGTTTGGAAGGTAGATAATTCTTGGAGTTGTTTCTGAAGGATGTCAGGTTAGGGAAACCAGCTCAGATCCTCAAGATTTCTATTTAAGTTGTCTTTTAGCAACCCACACTCCCACTGCATCCTTGGCTATCATTTTGTGCCATTAACTTTAACAAATCCACAACAGTCAATCTAATTTAATGACTTCAACTCATCTCAGCACAAGGAGAAACTAATAGCTGAATTCTTGACTAACAAGTACCTTTTAAGGCAGAACACTATTGATTTTTTTGGGTGGTGTGACAGGGTAATTTAAAGCAGTAAATAACACAAGTAGCTTAGATGTGATTTAGTTTACATTTGGGGGAAAATAACAGACCTTTTCTTGTCTTGGGCAGCTTTGTTAAGACAGAAACTTCAAAATATAGACTTAATGATAGCTAAATTGCAAATGTATCCAGATTTGTTGTTTCCACTATGAAAATATATATATATATATAACATTCATACCTTTGGACCAGGCAGACCAGGTATTGCTGGACAGACACACTGTGAAGTAACATTAATCTAAGGAAGAGAGAAAAAACAGTTAATGATAAACCATCTCTTTAAAAAGCAAGAAGTAAGATGAAGAATATTGACCTCATGAAAGTACTTTTTTAAATACCTAAACAATTATGTTGATCAAAGAGAAAGCATAGTTCCTAATTATGTAAGAAAGAAAGGATTATGCAAGTATTGGCAGGAAGCAGTGATGACTTCAAAACAATTAAAAATGCATTGTAAATTAGAGGACAAGTTCTACTCTTATATTTGAATTGTAAAATTGCATGCAAGAATGCAAGAGGCAGAATTTGCATTACACGGCACAGGCTGCCCTTTGCTTCCCTTCTGTCTGCCTCTGTGGACTCATGTAACTGATCCCTCACATTCAGTAATTTCTTAAGTGGAAGGAACTATGAATTAAGTTGGGATGCTATCTTAGCCCTTCCTAGAAAAACAAAGTAGTGTACACTGATCTTGATTGAACTGATGCATCTTTGATAAAGTTTCAAAAACTGTAGGTTGTCAAAATGCAGATTACTGGAATCAACAATAGTATTCCTTGATGTCCATTTATTCCTATTTTTAGAATCTTTGATTCATGTTCAACTTACTGGTCTTGAAAACCTTAAACCTGAAATTGAGAACCTGAAATTTATTAAATATTGTTGATTTCAACTTGCGGCATCTCCAAACTCATGGAGTTATGATGAAGGAGATGATTAAGGGATGATGGAAAATTAAATTGGTTCATCTGCTAGAATACCTTCTATCTACAGATAACTTGATGAGATTCTCAAACTATAAGAGTTATGTAGTACACATTTGGTAATAATTTTAACTTACTGGTCTTGCTGTAGAATCCCCTGTGATAGTGGATTGCTGAACTGAACTTGTGAGGACTTTTGAAGTGGTCTAGGATAAAAAATCAGGGCAATAAGGAAATTAATTTTTAAAGCATCAGTTAGCCTAATCTTCTCATTTTTCACCTAAAGTTTCTTACCCAACCCAAATCCTAGCATTTTTTTCTTTAAGAGAAGAGGAAATCCCAGTAGCTGCAATGTTTATAAATTAAATTTTTACTGCTTTGGAATACTATATATGTTTATTGAGAAGTAAGTCCCATTAAATAAAAAAACCCATTTTCTTAAATACACTTCTTTAGATGTTTTCTTCTTGCTCCTTTCTTTCAGGGTGGCAGTGATGTCTTCATGGCTCAATTCCAACACAACCTGCATCATTTTAGTATCCCCAGTGATCATGGATTGGTAATCTGAAGTTGTCAAGATTTTTGAACCTCCCTGAGATACAAGATGGGAATAGTTAGGAGACCTTTTGAATGTATTAGGAATTAAATTGCTTCTATCTTATTTGGACTAGGCATAGTCCTCAGTCAACTAAGTGCAGGTTCTTAATGATGTGGAAAGAAATATATATTTTGTTTCAGAACTTCAGCTAATGGTTTAATTATTTGATTCTTTTACAACCTTCTCATACTTTGGTCTTCTACTTACTGCTGTGGGATGAAACAGCTGTCTTTTTGCAGAATTATTAATTAATAGGTTAGTTGCTTTTGCCATCATAAAATTTTATAATGAAATCAACAAAAATATAAAGAATCAAATTATTATTATTAGGGGAGTGCAATTCCTTGGATTTGTTTCAGAAAGATGCTCAGAACAGTGCAGGGGGGTTTTCAATTCCAGGAAAGGATACGGCTGCTTTAAGGCAGAGCAGAGAGGTGTGTAATCTTTTGATAATGATCAGAACCCCGTTTTTATATTTGTTTCCAAAATTTCCCTACAATGCCTAGTCACAGTTCCTCTGCCACTGCAGTTAAAGCTGGGCACTATTTGGGGATTTGAGAGGTTTGGCTGAGTTACTTGACACATTTTCAATGGTACTTGAAAGTGGCATAAAATCCCATCAAACTAAGGAGAGACATTATCTGCCGACCAATCAACAGCAATGGATCATTCAGCCAGGAGCCTTGGATCTTTAGGGAAGAGGAGAATGCAGATTCAATAAAAAGTTGTGGAGCAGAGAGAGTTTGTCCTTACTAATATAACACCTGATGTTTTGATAGAACCTACAGTTCTGAGAAGAAAATAAATAGACATGATGTGTGAGTCTCCCTTGTTAGTCCTTTCCTGTAACTAATTTCATATAAATAGAAATGGCAGGAACAGTGGTCACTTTGGGAGCCCACAAGCACAGATGCCTGGTTGCCTTTCATCCTATTCCTTGTGCCACATATTTAGCAATGGTGTTTCTTTTCTCAACTGGGGAAGAATACTTCCCCAATTGTGCTTAAGGAAATGAGGGGAGATTGCTGCCATGGGTTGCATGGGTTGAGCTGATGCTTGCACATATTTGGATACCAATATTAAGAAATCAACCTTTTAAATGCACTGGGCAGGCAAACCCCTAAATTTCCTAAGCAGAACTGCTTTTAGACATGCAAACTAGGAATTTTTAAAGAAACTGCAGTGTTCACATTTAAAAAAGACACTAGACTGAGGAACAAAAAGACAGTAACTGCTGTGATTGATTCAATTGGCCAGTGCTGATGACGAAATCTAGAACCCAACCCAAAGAATTGGATGCGTCTACCAGGCATTTGGGCAATCTTTCTATGGATTGTTACCTGGACACTTAGGAATTCAGAGTCTTCTTCCATAGCGCTGCCCTCAAAGAAGGTTGAAACAGAAAGGCTATTATCAAAAGCATCTTCCTTTGTTATACCAGATGAACTTGACTGGGGGGGAAAAAACAAAAGAGGAAACTTGCATTCATTTCTGATTCTGAATATTTGTTTATTGCTTTTAGTCTCTTAAAAAAGGCAAGATAGTATTCCCCCTTACAATTTTATCTTTACAACAACCATATGGTAAGTCCAACTGGAAGGTGCATTGTTACCTATTGAGTTTCACTGCAGGGTAGAAATTTCTGATTATTTTATTATTTGGATCCTTGATCTCTGTAGAGAGGAGAGGTAGTGGTGGGAGGATTTTACCCACTAATTAAGGTCATTCTGCCCCAGCACTCAAAGCTTTGTTGAGTCTGACAAGACCCTGAGTGTTGATAAGGCACAAGGAAAATGTCAGTGTGAAATTGTGCAGACAGTGAGAAGGAGCCAGAGGTTGTCACATGATATGGGAGAGCTGGCCTTGGGACTTTGGCCTCCATCTGTGCATCTAGAGACCTTCAATTTAGCAGTGGCTGAGTCTCACATTTTCATGTGGGATTCGGGGGGGGGGGGAGGGAATGTAGAAAGCTATGAGGCAGCTGCTACTAAGTAGCAAAGTATTAATTATGCTGTCTATAATTGAAAAAAATAATTTAAATGGTTGCTCCCTCCAAATAATTTACTATTGCTGCTGCTGCTGCTGCTGCTGCTGCTGCTGCTGCTACTTTTTTCAATGTTTGAGGCAGGGGTGAAATGTTCCTGGTCCAGTCCGGTTCGCCCAAACTGGTAGTAAAAAAGGCTACTGGTTCGCCGAACCGGTACTAAAAAAAGGAAAGAAAAAAGTTCCGATGATCTGGTGAGCGACGTGCGATCATCGGAACTTTTATTATTACTTTTTAAGCATTTTTTTACTACTGGTTTTCCGGAACCGGTAGTTAAAAATGCCTTAAAAAGTAAAAAAAAAAGGCTCTGATGATCACAGCTGTGGCGCGCAATCATCAGAGCCTTTTTTTAAATTCTAAAATTTAATTTGCGTGGTGTGTGTACTACACATGCATGTGCAGTGCACATTTGGCGGACAGCATGCATGCGCAGCCAGCTAACCAGTAGTAAACCAGTTCAGATTTTACCACTGGTTTAAGGCCATTGAATCAGAAAATCTCAAGATGGCTTCCAGAAGCCCATCCCAGTTTGCTCTGTGTCAGAAGAGAAAGAGAAGGAGAAGCAAACAAACCAGGAGTGTACAATCCTGACAACTTGAAGACCTTGTACTTCAACGCCCAGAGTTTCCCAGCCAGCATGTTAAAATTTCATAAAATCCATATAGAAATATGGGAGTGTCATCTTAAATTTACTATGGTAATGGATAAGCAGCCAATGTGATGTAATGTTGAGGAACAGGACTGGGAGTTGGAATACCCAGGTTCTAGTCCTCCCTTGGACAAGCAAAGCCTTGAGCCGGTGATTCCTTCTTAGTTTTAAAATGAGTAGGATATTTTAAAAAAATATATCCCAGAAGAGGGAAATGGCAATCTATTTCCATATAATAGTGCCAAGAAAACTTTATGAAGTAACCAGGAATCACTCATTGTTTTCACTCCCCAACATCCCACAATATAGGATGTTGGGCAACCTTTCTACAGCAATGTTACCTGCATCCTTAGAAATTCATAATTTAAAATGATAATGGCAGTGAAAAAGTTATTTATGACCATTTTTCACACTTACAACCATTGCAGCATGATCACCTGATCAAATTTCTTATGCTTAACAACAGGTTCATATTTATGACAGTTGCAGTGTCCCGGGGTCATGTGATCACCTTTTGTGACCTTCTGACAAGCAAAGTCAATGGGAAAGCCAGATTCACTTAACAACCATGTCACTCAGTGGTGGGTTGCCCCCGGTTCACATCGGTTCTATAGAACCAGTAGTAAAACCGGCGGGAGGCTCCGCCCACTGACCCTGATGTCATCAGAACGCTTCTGTGCATGCGCAGAAGAGCGTGTGCACGCATGAGCAAAGCGAGCGCACGCGCGCGGCCCCATTGCAAACCGGTAGTAAAGGTAAGTAGAACCCACCCCTGATGTCACTAACTTAACAACTGCAGTGATTCACTTACCAACTATGGCAAGAAAAGTCACAAAATGGGGCAAAATTCACTTAACAAATTAGGAACAGAAATTTTGGGCTCAATGGTGGTTGTAATTTGAGGACTACCTCTTCTAGTCCTGCCTTAGTCCTGAAACCTGTCCACGTGACCTTTGGCCAGTCATTCTCTCTCAGCCCAACCTACCTCACAGGGTTGTTGTTGTTGTAAGAAAAATGGGAGGTGGAAGATGTGTTGGATATGTTTGCTGCCTTGAGTTATTTGTAAAAATAATAAAGGTAGGATATAAATACATAAAAATAAATTTTAAAAAGGTATATATGATTTATCAGCATCTATCCAATCTCTAACTATAATGATTGTAAATACTACAGTTATTGAAGCCTTGTTATTTTATTTACATGCCATAAGCTGGCACATACTTATACACTCACCCACAATTGCTAAAAGTAGTATAGGTAAGGGAAAATAGCACTTTGAGCAGAGGGTTGGACTAGAAGACCTCTAAGGTCCCTTCTACCTCTGTTAGTTCAGTGGCAGGCTGAATGCTTTTCCATGTAGCAGATGCAATTGACGATCATCTGTTTCTATCATTAGAATGAACTCACCTCCTCAACTATCAGATGTTAAGAAAGGGCAGAAAGGCTGGCATGAGATACTGGACCAAGGCATTGTGCAGTTTGTTCATCACAGCTAAATTGTTCTTCAGATGAATGGGTAATAAATTTGACTTATTATTGTACACAGGTTCTATATGTGGGTTGGGAATAAATGACATTTTATTTTGCCTCAGGTAACAAAATATATTAAGTGTTCATTTAGGACAGAGTTACATAAAAGAGTGCTGCTATCTAGAAGACTCTAGATAGCTGCTTCTCAACAGGAGGGCTGGAGTATCATTGTTTAGGAACACTGGAACTAAATTTCTCAGAATTTCCCATGTGTTGGGACCGTTACAGTCCCAACTCAGCCTCCCACTTGTTCTCTGCAGGAAAAAAAAACAAAAAACCCAAAACAAGCCCAGGCTAGGAAAGTCGCTCAAGGATGGGAAAATTTTAGCCGCCCAGGTGTCTTTGAAATATGGCTTCTTGTGCCATGATTTGAGATGCTGGGAACTTTTGTTCAATGATATCTGAGGATTACAAATTCACCCATGACCAAAACATACAATTACGTAGCAGAAACCATTTTGTATAGTTTATAGTGTGATCGTTCTGAACTGCTTGAATGTTATGGTAGCCTCACTTTAATAATTACATGGAATGAGGAAAGAACTGTTCTTTCAGAATAATTATTATAGAAGGGTGTGTTTTGATATATGCATCCCCCTTCTGCTCTTTTAATATTATATCACATAATGACATGTAACTTTTAGATTATATAATATGAATAACATCATTACATTGTCAAAACTTTTATTAGCAAGCAAAAAGACTTGTAAAAGCTCAGTCAATATGTCTTCTGCTTTACTCCTCCCCCTTCATACACACACACACACACACACACACACACACACAAACACACACACACTGCCATACGTATTTTTTTTTGCCTATTCCTCAAGTGATTTATGAGTTCTATTCACCATCAGCATCCACATAAAGATGCATGTAGAGCTGTCATAAGCATATTCAAGTATTTAAAAATAAAGATCAATGAAAAGTTATATTTCCTGGGCTGTTTTTGAATCAAATTAATCAAATGTGCAGTTCTATGCCATGTGCTTTTGAAAGAAAGCACCTGTTTAATTCTGGAGAACAAGTTGGTACCTCTGGCTTCATTGCAATGTTATTATTCATCTTAGTTGCCACACAACAAATCAATAATCAGTTATCATCTGACCCATACCACACATGATAAATGCTCACCAAATCTAGGATTTGTTCAGTAGTCGCATCTTGTGCAGTTGTATCTGGTGTGTTATGAGGAATGGAACTACTCCGGACCGTAGGCACAGAAAACTGCTTCACATCAGTTTTTGCCTCTGAGAAAGCAAAGGGAAAGGAGATTGGAAACTATATATTTATACACAATACACAAACACAATTGCTCTGTCCCTGACACTGATTTTCCAAAAAGGGAAGAGAGAAGAACAATAGAGAAGACACACTATTAATTACAGAGATTATAGAAAGAACTTCGTATTTCCTTCTTAGAGCTCAAAACCAGAATTGCAATAAACCTGAGAGGAAGGTAAACCGAAGAGACAATTGTGTAAAGACACTTATCAACAAGAATTTGAACCTGCTTTGCTAATCAACATGATTGTTACAAAGCCTCCAGTTTTCTTCCTGCAATTTAGCTGATGCAACTTTCCCCATGCACAAAACCTTATACATTAATCCATCTTCTTTTATCCAGTGAAATACAAATTCTACAAATGAGATAGAATTTTACATGAGGCTGAAGCCCTGGGAAATGTGGAGAAAGACAGCCACTCCGATCTCAGATAGCCTAATTGCCAAAGCTATCTACACCAGGCTTTCTCAATCCTTTTTTCAAACATGGTCACACAAACTGGGAATTTCTGCAAGTTACAGTTCAAGTACAATTTGGAGAAGGTTGCGTTAGATACAATATTGCCCAAATAAGTATTACACCCATGACCCCCCCCCAACCCACATTTGATTTCAAGACATTCTATGGCTCCAATAGTGTACCCTTTTAAAGGGGCATTTCTGGATTTTAAATGGCATTTAAGGGCATTTTCAGATTTTTCCACACAAAAAGAAAATGAGAAATGGGCAAGGAAAAAGAAACAAGAATAATTATAACCTTTTACTTACCTTGGGGAATCATAGCAGGTGTAGTCAAAGCCTTCGAATTTGAATACAGCCACCAGTTGAACTGGGCAACACTAGGGGGAGTCAGCCCCCCCAACAGCAAGACAAGGCAGAGGAAGCCCAATGGCTGGTATCCCCTAAGAGTCTCCATTGCAGTTGTCTGCAGCTTAGCTTCTCCACACTAACCTTTGGCACTTGTGATCCAAGTTCATATGAGCCCAAGGTGCCCGCCCACCAGTCTCTCTCTTTGCCAATCAGCATCTCATTTTAGAAGACATGCACTGTGACTAAGTAGTCTTACTCTCTCCTCCCTCCTCCTTCCCCCCTCCCCCCTCCCATATGCACGACAGAAGAGTAGATTTCTTGTTTTACTTTGCATTTCTTCGAATTTTGAATCTCTATGTGCAGGGGGGGGTAGTGCATCTAGAATAGAATAACATAGTTGGAAGGGACCTTAGAGGTCTTCTAGTCCAACCCCCTGCCCAGGCAGGAAACCCTACACCACTTCAGACAAATGGTTATCCAATATCTTCTTAAAAATTTCCAGTGTTGGGACATTCACATCTTCTGCAGGCAAATTGTTCCACTTATTAATTGTTCTGTCAGGAAATTTCTCCTTAGTTCTAAGTTGCTTCTCTCCTTGATTAGTTTCCACCCATTGCTTCTTGTTTTATCCTCAGGTGCTTTGGAGAATAGTTTGACTCCCTCTTCTTTGTGGCAACCCCTGAGATATTGGAACACTGCTATCATGTCTCCTCTAGTCTTTCTTTTCATTAAACCAGACATATCCAGTTCTTGCAACCGTTCTTCATATGTTTTAGCCTCCAGTCCCATAATCATCTTTGCTACTTTTCTCTGCACTCTTTCTAGAGTCTCAACATCTTTTTTACATCGTGGCGACCAAAACTGAATGCAATATTTCAAGCATGGCCTTACCAAGGCATTATAAAGTGGTATTAACACTTCACGTGATCTTGATTCTATCCCTCTGTTTATGCAGCCCAGAACTGTGTTGGCTTTTTTGGCAGCTGCTGCACACTGCTGGCTCATATCTAAATGGTTGTCTACTAGGACTCTAACATCTCTCTCACAGTTACTACTATTGAGGAAGGTACCACCTATATGGTACCTGTGCATTTTGTTTTTCTTTCCTAAATGTAGAACCTTGCTTTTTTCACTGTTGAATTTCATTTTTTTAGATAGCGCCCAATATTCAAGTCTGTCAAGATCTTTCTGTATCTTGAGCCTATCTTCTGGAGTGTTGGCTATTCCTGCCAGCTTGGTGTCATCTGCAAATTTGATGAGTTCCCCATCTATCCCCTCGTCCAAGTCATTGATGAAGATGTTGAAGAGTACTGGGCCTAAAACAGAGCCTTGGGGTACTCCACTGCATACTTCCCTCCATTGAACGCGGTTGGTCAGCCAGTTACGAATCCATCTGGTAGTGATGCTGCCTAACCCACATTTTTCTACTTTATCTAGTAGTAGGTTATAGTCTACTTTATCCAGGGGTGGATTCTAATTTTTTTTTACTACCGGTTCTGTGGGTGTGGCTTATTTTGTGGGCGTGGCTTGGTGAGGGGGTAATGTGACTGGGTGGGCGTGGCCAACTTTTTTTTTGTTTTAAAAGCATTTTTTCTACAACCTTAAGAGGTTGCAAAAAAAAATGCTTTTTTTAAAAAAAAATTGATTTATATGCCGCCCTTCTCCGGAGACTCAGGGCGGCTTACAATGCATTAAGCAATAGCCTTCATACTTTTGTATATTTATACAAAGTCATCTTATTGCCCCCATAATCTGAGTCCTCATTTTACCTACTTTAGAAAGGATGGAAGGCTGAGTCAACCTTGAGCCTGGTGAAATTTGAACGTGCAGTAATTGCAGGCAGCAGATGTAAGTGGATGTTAATAACAGTGCTTTAGTCTGCTGAGCCACCAGAGCTTTTTTTTTTTTTTTACTTTTAAAAGCATTTTTTTCTACAACCCTCTTCGGCTGAAAAAATGCTTTTAAAAGTAAAAAAAAAGCCTCTGACGATCAGGCAACTCAGCTGGGATCGCCAGAGGTATTTAAAGGCATTTGTAGAAAAAATGCTTTTAAAAGCCTCTGACGATCCTAACTGAGCTGCGTGATCATCAGAGGCTTTTTTATAACTTTTAAAAGCATTTTTTTTTGTTATTTTTTACTTTTGTCGCAAGCGTTTGTTCATTGTGAGCCTTAGCTTTCCTCACTTCATCTGTACAGGCTGTACTTATTTTGCTTTTCAAATCACCCTATTTATCTTACTACTAATTTGTGTTAATGTAAAGGGCCATGACAATTACAGGTAGTCCTCAACTTACAGCAACTTGCTTAGTGACCGTTCAAAGTACTGAAAAAAGTTATTTAGGACCATTTTTCACACTTAGGACCGTTGCAGCCAATCCAAGTTTTTTTATTTTATATTATTTATACATATTGATGCATGAACAGTTGCACCATCCCCATGGTCACATGATTTACATTTGGATGTTTGACAACTGATTCACATTTATGACTTGCACTGTCCTGGGATCATGTGATCACCTTGTGCAGCTTTCTGACAAGCAAAGTCAATGGGGAAACCAAATCCATGTTACTAATTTAACAACTGCACTGATTCATATAACAAATGTGGCAAGAAAAGTCATAAAATGGGGCAAGACACACGTAACAAATTTCTTACATAACAACATAAATTTAGGGGTCAATTGTGGTCATACAGGTTGAGGACTACCTGTATTGCATTTGTTTCTTTATTCTTTCAGTTCCATAACCATGTGCATTGGGCACCTGTGAACTTTTAACCAAAGGCTAAAACCAAAGATACTATGCATCTAATGAAATGAACTGCAGTCCATGAATCTTTATGATGCTAAAAGATTATTTTTGATGAATTATGTTTAGTGCTGGAGCAATCATCCAAAGCAATCCACTGATTTGGATTTACCAGCTTTCCAAATATTGCAGAACCGTAAGTTCCATCATTTCCCAAAATTGAATATTCTCATTGGGGCTGAGAGCTGTTGTGATTCACAGCAGCACCTGAAGTCCCACAGACGTCCCATCTTGGCTGGTTAAGATGTCTTTTATTTTAAAGCTTTCTCTTTTCTAGCTGATTAAATCTGTTGTAGAGAGACAGTTTGGTGTAGTGGTTAGAGTACTGTACTAGAAACTGGGAGGCCCTAAGTTCTAGCTCCACTTTAGAAACAAAATCAGTTGGATAATCTTAGACCACTCATTCTCTTTCAGCTATAGGTAGGAGGCAATGGCAAACCACTTCTGAAATCTTGCCAAAAAAACTGCAAAGACTGAGTCCAGGAAAATCACCTGGAGTCAACACTAACTCTAAGGCACAAAAATAAATTAAACAACAACAAAAAGCAACTCTAGTGGAATTAAAATTTCAAAATGTGGAGCTCTAACCTGAAACAGAGGACCACCCATTATTCTACTGAATTTAGTGTCTACTATATGTGGATAGAATAGAATAGAATAGAATAGAATAGAATAGAATAGAATAGAATAGAATAGAATAGAATAACAGAGTTGGAAGGGACCTTGGAGGTCTTCTAGTCCAGCGGTCACCAACTGGTGGTCCATGGACCACTGGTGATCCGTGAGAAAATTTTGGTGGTCAGCAGAAAAGTTATTTGCATTTTTTATATTGCACTAAATCAGGGGTCCTCAAACTATGGCTGCTGGGTTGGATACGTACGATGAACGTTTGTGTTGCTGCAGAGTCTCCCCCTTCGGGGTTTTTTTTGCGTGGGTCAGAGGTGGGCAGAAATTCCAACTTGGGGTCTGCTTCAGCCTCCTGGTGTGGGGATTTTGACTTTGGGCGAAGGGTGGAGGGCCTTGTTCCAGTGGGACTGCCTCATGGCCTGGAACTGGCTGACCATCTCAGTCCACTGAGCCTCCAGGTGCCGGTACCTGGCCTTCACTCCGGCAGGTGTTTCCTCTGCTTGGAAAGCCTATGCTTGTAGTCCTCAGTGAGGTGCTTCTGCTGAGCCTCCTTCTTGGTCAGATCCAATTTGAACTGAGCCAGCTGTTTTGCCAACTCTCATGGTGGCTGCTTAGCTCCAACAACTGCTTCCTGTAGGGGCCCTAAAGTGCCCAGGCGGGCAGGCGAGGAGTAGCTGGGAGGAGAGGGGAGAGTAGAGGCCCCTCGATGTGAGTGACATCAAGTTGGCCATGCCCACCCAGTCACATGACCACCTAGCCACGCCCACTCAGCCAGTCATTAGGCAGATAATATTAGTGGTCTGCGAAATTTAAAATTATGAATTTAGTGGTCCTTGAGGTCCAAAAGGTTGGGGACCCCTGTTCTAGTCCAATTCCCTGCCCAGGCAGGAAACCCTACACCACTTCAGACAAATGGTTATCCAACATCTTCCTAAAAACTTCCAGTGTTGGAACATTCACAACTTCTGCAGGCAAATTGTTCCACTGATTAACTGTTCTAACTGTCAGGAAATTTCTCCTTAGTTCTAAGTTGCTTCTCTCCTTGATTAGTTTCCACCCATTGCTTCTTGTCCTACCCTCAGGTGCTTTGGAGAATAGCTTGACTCCCTCTTCTTTGTGGCAGCCCCTGAGCTATTGGAATATTGCTATTATGTCTCCCCTAGTCCTTCTTTTCATTAAACCAGACATATCCAGTTCTTGCAACCGTTCTTCATATGTTTTAGCCTCCAGTCCCCTAATCATCTTTGTTACTCTTCTCTGCACTCTTTCTAGAGTCTCCACATCTTTTTTACACCGTGGCGACCAAAACTGAATGCAGTATTCCAAGTGTGGCCTTACCAAGGCATTATAAAGTGGTATTAACACTTCACGTGATCTTGACTCTATCCCTCTGTTAATGCAGCCTAGGAATGTGTTGAATTTTTTTGGCAGCTGCAGCATACTGCTGGCTCATATCTAAATGGTTGTCTACTAGGACTCCAAGATCCCTCTCAGTTACTACTATTGAGCAAGGTATCACATATACAGTACCTGTGCATTTTGTTTTTCTTGCCTAAATGTAGAATCTTACTTTTTAAATCTTCATGCATCTTGAAATGTTAGTGCATCAGGAAAACTCATTGTCTTATATGGGTTTAAGGAAATTACATTGGTAATTCTGAGTGTGATTCACATTTCTATTTCACAAAAAATCAATGAACAATATTGCATTGACTTGGAAGTTTT